ACATTATAAGGAATAGAACTGGCATCCACGAGTTATACATAACCGGTCCACTGTCCTTCGACGTGCACTTCATTTGTATTACTTTGGATGGGGGGGGATATGCATACCAGATACAAACAGGGCGGTAGCCATACCGTAGCCAGTTCCACACTGAATCTGACCAGTCTGTGAGCTTAGCACCCCGTTTCCCCAAGCGTCGATTAACAGTTTGTTGGAGTTAGTTTTGAAGACGGCGATGTTCCACCGATTGATCTCTTTTAAGTCAGGTTAGCATAAACTCTATACACCTCCGTATGGGCGCATTTTCACCACTCTGCACGATCACTGCGGATATAATGCGGCACCACATCAAGAAGTACGAATTGGCATGGTAGACAAGAAAACCGTTCATTTTCACTCGTGAATAGATGCCATACCAACTAGCGCGGTGTTTGAGGAGTTATTGGGGTGGTTTTGTATCTTGGATGGGAAGATGATCCACGCATCGAACTTTTTTCTACTGATATAATCAACGGGGATTCTCCGTAATCCGCAGCTTTGGAAACTAAATTTTAACGTGCACATGAATAGAACATAAGTCTTTTGAAACAGTCTAGGAACATAACTTTGGTGAGGAAGAGTACATGTGATTACATGCTGTAAAATTGAATCACGGGGCATATAAGGCATTTTGAGGCTAGAAGTTTAGGATTCACTCTTGCGGCTTTTTGAAAATTTTCGCGTATATATGTCGACCACGATAAATTGTAGAACCAGACGACCGAGATACTTCACGATAGATATAAAGGTCTGTTTTAGTCACTCATGTCCAAAGGATGAATCGCAGTCTCTCGGAATGGAGAAAAGCGCGCGATGCACTAAAACATTAAGAAGGGAAATGGACCGGAATCTTGACAATTCACGTGTTTTTCTAATCCACATTGGCGTTTTGTAGGTTGCTCAATGTTTGGGGCTATACCCGTTAGGACGACGTCAGCATATTTGCACTCACTGGCCGGCTATAAAGAGGGGATACCAATTTGCATTTCGGCGCCCACTGTGTCTAGAAAGATGCTACTGAATAATTCTCGATACTCGGTGCACAGTTGCAAGAGACGCTCGCCGTTGTGTTTCCGGTCGGAGTAAACTCCATAACTACCACATACCCGAGATTCTGAAGAGCTCACACGACCTACCTGCGCATTCATATCCCCCGAAACTACAACGATATCTGAACTGGTAACAATACGTAGTAGCGTGCTCAGTTCTTGTTAGAATGTGCTCTTGGCAGCATCGGAGCTATAGTCGGTGGAAGCATAAATGGGAATCATACACAAACGGCGTCCATTACTACCTCGTGAATCAATCTCAGTTGATGTCCTCTAACTGGCTGCACACAAACTGCTGTTTACCGGAATCTAATAACGCAACGATGACTCAGGCTTGAGGTTGAGAACGATCCCATCCCAAACTTATCAGTGACTGCCGCATCAGTGTACCCAATAGCTAGAGGATAGGTCTGGCGCAGTTAATTCAACAGCCCCATGAGGGTCATTGATCCTAGTTTCGGATACGCAATCCACGTCAATACTCAGTGTGTCCAAGGTACGTGTGAGTGCAGCCTATTGACCTATTTGTCTTAGAGTGCGCATGTTGAACGCAGCCAGGAAAACGGGGCAGTGCAGACTTATAAGGAAGTATTGACTATAGGCGTCCAGTGGGTGGTGCGGGAAGGTAGCTGCAGATGTTACATCTCCAGTGGCATTGCGGCTGCTGTCCATAAAGCTGGGAATTATGGTAGGAAGTTAATAATGTTGATCAGGATTGCAGTTAGAGAAACAAGTGGAAAGGGAGGCGCCAGCAGTAGCATATTTTCGCTTATCCACTGCTGTATGCAGCAGTTATGGCGATCCTTGGTAAGCTGCACGACAACGGATGCAAGATGTGATTGAAGTTTAAGGAAGTGTTCATGGTTGTACATTGGCTGATGCACTGCTACATCTAGCAGACCATGACAGGAGAACGATTAGGGTCCTTAGCCAAAGCCGTTGGCTCGAATTCCTGTCCGCGATATGACGGCGAGGTAGCAATGATTTGTTTTTAACAGAAATGGACGCCATCCCATTTCCAACCCCAATCTTTAGGACCAAGACATTAAGTTCGTGTGCCCTCTAACCACTGATCAACCTGGTAGGAGTAGCTCTCAAAGGGCCCGTGGATACCACTCAATACAGCTCATTGCGTCGGAGGTCCGGAAACTGTCGCACCACGTTAAAGTTCAGTCTCGTTACTACGGGTCCAGTCTTCAGTGTCAAAATCTTATCATCTTTTCCCTCGCATCACTACTCATACTCTCATGCTTTCCCATTGCCGCGAAAAGCTCGTGAAATCAACAATTTTCCTAAAAGCGATTGCTCGTTGCTAGGCAGTATCTGTTTACTTTATATCATGCTAACAGGACAGCACATGAGTCCAATCTGCTAGCCAGCAAGTTACGTTTTCCTTTCCCTAAACTTTCCTTGTTGTTTCTTTAAAACTATTTCTCGTTTTGTGACCGTATTCAAGGAGAGGTGACTTTCGCGCAACCTTTTGGATCCAAATCAAACTATCAGCGGAGAATGACAACATTGATGACTTTAAAATTTGTTCTTAAGCCAATGACAATAATTTGTATGAAAACGGAAATTCCGCTGTATGTAGCGTAGAAGACTATTCCAGTAATAACATAATGGTGGAGTTTAAGGGCTCCGACATTGCCTGTAGAAGTGTTTGCAGGAGGCGCATTCGGAATAAGGATATCAGCGGTAAACGCCCTCTAACTGATTACAACACCGTTTCCCAAGTACTAGTGTGGTGCACTACTGATGAGTATTATGGGTATCAACGAGGGCGCACAAGGGAAACGTAAATCATGAGACGTAAGCAGACGAAGGAGGTGTGGTGGAAAACCAACCGGACGACGTACACGAGAGGCGCGAGACAATCTAAACAGATGCGCAGTGAATGAAAGGTTGCAACGGCGCATCGCTCTGGAATGGTGCCGCGATTGTCATGCGCAAATTGGACTCGCCAGTTATTATGTTAACCAGACATGCGTTCTCCAATAAACAACTTGTTCGCCTCTCGTTACTTTCTCAATACCAGTACAGCTCGGTTACGTACTTACCACGTCTCGCACTATCGGGCTAGTAAGTGAAATCGTAAGCAGCTTACGCTTACTGCGGTGACGCCTATCCCTTTAACATGCCCGTCGCCGCTTCGATCTATTCTCCTCGTGGCCACGCGGATAACTTACGAGCTCGGCTCCGTTGTCACACGTTCCCATGCTGTCCTACAACGGGTGCATGGCGACGATGGGCTGGGCCCATGAGCATCTGTCACTCGCGCAATGGACGTTTTCATCCACCTTCATATGCGTTATGTGAGGGTTTTGCTTCTATGCAACAGTCCTTTCTTGTGCGCCTTGGCAAAGTGGTTGTTTATGTGATCACCCCATTACCGGCGATCCACGGTCATTGCTTCTCAACACCCAAGTCAACATCAGTTCGTGCTAAACACCTTGATTATGTCCTGACATCATAGTCTCGGTTTACCCACCTTCCGTTTTCCTGTACCAAGTTGACCATATAGTAGCTGCTTCGCTACCCTGGTCGCATCCAGGTGTCGGGTGGCGCAAGGCTCGAGGTGGACAGAAGTTGACTTGGCAGCGGGAAATGAAGTCACTGATGACCAAACTTGGTGCCGTTGGTCCGTCTCGTCTTCCGGACTGGAGTCCACATAACTCGCCTTGTGTTTGACTCGGGACTTTACAGGATATGGCTCGCAGTCGGCACGACTGGCGTGTCTGCTGTCGTCCCTTAGTCAGACTGCCTGTTTACGGTGTGTTTGGTTCTGGGTTATCTGCGGCGTAATGGCTGATTATGACGCGGGGCAGTGAAAGCCGCAAGGAAGCTATCTCGCTGATGCCGCGTTATTTTTGTAAGAGAGCCAGCTGTTTGTGGCGGTATGTTGTTAACACAAGGTGTAGGCGCCTTGACCCTGAATGTTTGCTTAGGTCATTTCCGGTGAGTCCCACTTCTTTCTTATTATTATTCTTACTGCAGGTCATTGGGGTGTATGGCAGCGAAGAATCAGTTCAAATGGCTGATGTACTGCTGTTGATGATGATACTGCTGATGTCACATCCATAGGGCGCACAAGTGCGAGTCACCTGAGGTATCGCGGTAGCAGTATGCAATCGATTCCGCGCATGCCGCTCCGCTTTAGTGCTTTTGTGTGCTGGGTTTTGTCACCAACGGATACGCAGAATCCGACACAAGTTTCCTTTATGAAAGCACTCCAGCTACTGAACGTCCTCCGTGTAGTGCCCACGTGGTGAACGACCAAAAGGATCGACAGCACAGCGTTGGATTGGCCCCAACGGTCATCTAGTGATTCTTCCACATCGGATATACTAGTTTAACAAAGGCCACACTCGCTTTTGACACACGGGTACGCAGCTTACGTGTCAACGCAACGTAGTTAGCCTTACTTCATGATTTGGGAGGTATCTTCACAGTGCAAACTTGAGGTTGCGGACGATGCTCTCCCAGGATAGCCAAATTTCTATGAGTTTGTAAAGTTTCATCAGCAATCCCGATTTGGGTGCAGCACATGGACTTAACTCCTAGTTATGACTGAACTGGGCGTACAGTCTTTCGATATGTGAGCAACATCGTTTAAAGCGTCTTGTTTGTCCATTACTTTTGTATCTTCCCTTCACGACTACTAACAAACAAGCATCTGGTAGCCGACTAACTCGAGTAATGCGGTTGCCCAGTTGCGTGTGGCCACCGCTAATCTGTCTGATTAATTTCGTTGCTTCGTATTCTTCAGCGTGTACTGATGGTCATTTACGGCATGATCTGTGTACCAGAACTGATCATGAACACAGTGTCCACTGACCTGGGCACTCCATTCACATGACCGTCACTCTGTCTCCTTTCTACTGAACTCATGATAGCCCAGGGTTCATGGGAAGTCGGCGTCGGTTACCAATAGTGAAGTGTTACAGGCGAGTGAATTCTAGCGTTCAAGATTCATTTCAGTTAATCAACGATGATCGATTCATCAAAGTGCTGTAAACCCAGACGGTACGATCCGCGTCACCATGATGACAATGCGTCCTGATGGTGTATGTTCACAAAAGAGTCAAACCAAGTACAAACAGTTTGTCGAAAGAAAGACGATGACAAAAGCAACCTTTTAGGTATGCGTTACCATTCTTCTTGTCCTTTCGGTGATGTAAACTACTTTAAACTACTGCACAGGACTTTGTTTATTATCGCTGAATTCAATTTCACATGTACTGATAACACTTACAATAATCTCGCTTGTCATATAGGCTTTACAGCTAGTCTTCGTTTGACTAATCCTCATTTTTCTGTTTATTTCTTTGTGCTCTGATACCCCCATTCGACTGCTTTATACATTTCTCTTCGTCCACCTTGTGTCCTACAGGTTGAGAAGGTTTTACAGCAAGGGGATGCCACCGTCGTTTCGGAGAAGTATTCCACACTGATGGACAGCAAAGTAATTCGAACGAAAGCTTTTTTAATTCGCTTTACGTTTTCATTGTGCATTTGAGCAATTTTCTACACTTTATTTATAAATCGTAGGAAGACCTTAGATCTGATTTGATTTTGGGGTCAAACTCCCTCGAGCAGCGACTGATTCAATAATGTCCATCAGTACTTCCAATCCTGTCATCTAGTAACCACTAACTTGAATGGGTTGCCGTAATTTATCAACGACATGCATTGTTTAACAACGGGACTGTTGAATCGCTAGTCGCCTCCTTTGTGACTGTACTCGTTCTGACGTCTATCGAGACAGTTTTGAATCTCTTACGTGATGACAGGGACTGTACCAGCGTCCTTGCTACCTCATTTGAAGCACACGTTATGTGAGTGCAATTCGATACCCAATCTCAATTTGGACCGCAACTAAAGCTGAAGGATACGTCGGTTAAGCAATGAGTGGGCTTGCATTTGTAACGAGCAGCTCTGTCACTCACCAACCAGCAATATTACCCTCTCTGACGGGTTTCGCACTGGTTCGCTTCTTTCTGCCCGAGATAGCAGAACATACACTGAACCTATCGGTTGACGTCTTCATCCCCACACCACCGTCGCTGACTCACTATACCACTGATGGAATTGGCGAATGTAAACATGCACGAAATCCGGTGTTGGAGTGCAATATTGCAATCGGAATACGCGTGACATTTGTCCTTCTTGATGCGGTTCCTGTGGTCAAGCTGATCGACACCGACGACTCGTGGTCTAGACTGAGATTGCGCGTCGCAATCCATTCAAACAACGAGTACTTCAATTGAGTTAAACAACGGGTCACTTCTCGTTACGACAAACATTGTTCATCGCGACTCGGTGACCTCGGTTGTCACCCCGAAGGTCCCGTCCTCGAATCGCAGTCTTACTACCTGACGCGTATAGAAGTGTGGTGTTCTCAGTTGGTAGCCTGTAACATTCATCTTGCTTTTCGCTCTCATATCTTGCACAGATATGGGAAGGTTCTGCCGCATAACAGATCAGTTCATTTCGCTGACTGAAATCTGGCCCTGAAAACCGCAGTGAGATAGACACAATAACCCAAACTCGTTTAACCATGGAACAGACTGATGAGGGTGGAAAATAGCTATTCGGTATAAGAAAGTTAGCTTACAATCGGCTAGTGGCGGAGATCGCAAGTTGTAGCGTATGACTGAATGCAGTTCACCGCGACTTTGTGATCCAATAAAAACTAGGAGGTAGGACAAGCTGAACTTGTCAGGACAGTAACTGAAAATTCGTCTCTTACTCCGATGCGATCTGGGGTTCCAGGCTTACTATACGTAAGGTTTCCACATATCTCAGAAGTCACAATTCATGATATGCGTATCAAAGTGAAGGACTAATTGACTGGGTTGGTCGCCCTGTAAATCCGTTGAACACAGATATCGGTTCTTGGTCATTGGCACTGTTCTGTCACCGTTGAGAACGCCAACTTCTCTTTTGTGTTTCAAATGATTCGACTCCGTTTGTTTGATGGTATTCTGTCAAATCTACCAACTAGACTGCAGCTTTTACATCATGAGAGTATCATCGCATGGTCAGCCGCCCATTTTGTCACATTTTAGGGAGAAGAAAAGCTTCGCTCATCAATGCGGTGGTGGTGTCATCACTTAGGTCGGTACCGAATGCCTATTGCATGGACCGCCATTGACTTGACTCCCCTCCTTTTACATGCACATAGTAGGTGTCCATCTGACGGAGTCGCTGACTCTCTCTCTTCTGATCGTGAGTTTCACCGAGAACTACAGTGACATAAAGCACCTCCTCGTTTGTCTTCGCACCTAACCGCAACCACGCTTGGCCTGTAACTACTAACATATTTATCCGCAACTGGTTATGAAACTCTCATTTGAATCAAACCTTAGTAGTCTTATTTGTCCCCCTTTTACAATTTGGCTGTGCTATTCAACCCATCCTGCGTGCTACGACATTCACTGGACCTGAAAGAAACTAGGTGGTCCCACTGGAATTTAGAGGAGATTTTCGGTCACATTCCGTCCACATGTTTGTTGCTTGAGAGCGGCCATTCTTTAACATTCAGCTTACTTTTGTGATTAAAATAAGCAGACAACACCTCTGCATAACTGAGCGCTTTTCGATCTGGTGATCTCTGGCTTCTCATCAGCTACTTGTGCACGTCCTAGTAATTACTGTCCCGATTCTCACTCGACATTTCTGTACATTGATGTGCACAGCCCTTTTAAGCTCGGTGATTGACACTATACCATCGACCCATGCGCATCCAGAACTATTGACTTGCGGGTAGCGTAACATCTGCACTTCTTTCCTGTGTGCACTGTTCGCAGCAAATGTGTCAAACGGAACTGGTTGATCAGTAGGGTCGAGCACGCTTTTGAAGTCAGGGAAAACACTGTAGTTGACCCGCGTCACCTGTGACGCTAGTTAAGCTGTTGCCACAGAGTTAACGTATGGTTCGCGCCTCTCTTCTCATTCTCAATTCCGATCCTGAAGTAAAGTGATGAACAAGAATAGAATCATCATCATCATCATTATACACGTCAGCTAGAGGTGGGAAACACCTCAGCTTCTGTGCCGCAATACATAAATAAAAAAGGAAAATAAATACAAAAGTTGCGTGCCAGCTGAGCTACCAGCAACGGATAGGCATCGTTCCGGTAAGATACCAGCCTTCTGCTAGGCAAAAAGAAAAATTGTTATGTTTTCGCTAAGAAATGAGATCGTAGGTGGGGGGAGGCTAAAAGGGATGGGGAGGGACAAAGAAACTCACAGCACGAACGCCACTGAGGTCGGCTCCTTGCCATGTCAGCAAGTGTATCCAGCCAAACATGTTCACCGTCTTTTGGACCCCAACCAGGTAGCCTTGACGCTCCAACCGGAGCCAGCACATGATTGAGGGCCTTCCTTCCTCTTGACAAAGTCATCGTTTGGCCACCCCTCCACTTCTTCCATCCACATCCCCGGTGAACAAATAACGTACGTCGAGGGAGTCGATGGGCTGGCATGCGCAACACGTGGCCCAGCCATCGGAGTCTGGTGCGTGAAATGACGGTGCTGAGCGGTTCATTCCCTTTTCCTGGGCCGTAAACAAGGCGTCGAACACGGTCGTTACTCACGCGGTGTTCCCACCAGATGTGAGCCAAACTGCGAAGGCACCGATGGTCGAACGTAACTAGCCTCTTCATGTCTGCCGATCTTAGGGGCCAGGTTTCACAACCGTACAGTAGGGTCGCATTTACCGCTGCATTGTACACTCTACCCTTCAGGGCGAGAGTGATGTCGCGCCGCCGCCATAGGTGGCGAAGGTTAGCAAAAGCACTTCGAGGTTTTGCTATCCGGTTCGTGATCTCGTTTTCGATCCCAAGGGCGCTGGTACAACTTCCCAGGTAGTTGAATTTCCGAACGACTTCTAGCTGATCCCCACCAAGGGTCAGCGCAGGAGGCTATCCCTGCCAATCTTGGAGGAACGCTTTGCATTTCGATGGTGCAAAGCAAAGCCCGAAGCGGCTGACAGCCAGTGCTAATCTGTCCAGTGCAGCTTGGCACGTCTGGGAGCTGTCACAGATGAGAGCAATGTCGTCTGCATACTACAAGTCAAAAGTCGTTCTCCTGGGAGTAGCTTCATACCTTCTAAGTCCTGTCCTGTAAACGCAATCTCCATGACTTCGTCAATAGCGAAGTTGAAAAGGAAAGTTGGCAGCGGGCATCCTTGTCTCACACCGCTGGAGATATTGAAGAGTTTCGACAGCTTGCCGTAAGCTCTCACTCTGCCCGTGCTACGCGCGTATAATGCTCGGATAATATTCACATATTTCTCAGGTACACCTTTCCTGAGTAGACAATTCAAAAGGGCAAATCGATCAACCGAATCGAAGACACCTTTGATGTCGAGCAACACGACTACGGTGGGCCGCCAATATGTGTGACGGTTCTCCAACAACTGACGCAAGGTGAAGATGTGGTCAATGCAGCCACGACCCCGACGAAACCCGCCTTGCTCCTCACGAATCTGGCTTTCACGAGCGCCAATCAGTCTGTGAAGAATTATGGAGGCGAGTAATTTGGAGGAAATGGAGATCAGACTGATTCCCCTATGGTTGCCGCATTCCGAGCGCGAGCCGCCTTTGAAGATGGGACCAATAACGGAGCGGCTCCAATCGGTTGGGACAATCTCCTGCTCCCACAGTTTCAATAGTAATTCATGCAAAGCGTCAACAAGAGCAGAGCCTCCGAAGTTGAAAAGAGCTGGAGGAAGATCATCTGGTCCCGCGGCTTTGTTCAACCTCAACAGTCCGATCTCACCTTCGACTTCCGAGCGAGAGGGTGGATCCAAAGGGACAGCCCACGGAGCAGGGTGATCAGTGACCGGCGAATCGAACAATTCTAGCCGATTAAATTGCTTTTCAAAATGCTCAGCTCAACGCTTCAGTCGTTTTGACAAATTGTGGATAGACTGTCCACTCTCGTCACGTATAGTTTCATTAACATCAGGTCTCCTGCTGCCTGTTCCCCGTATCAGACGGAATAACTTACGATGGTTACCAAGGGCAGCGGCCGCTTCCATCTCTGATGCACGATAAGACCACCAAGATTCGCGCTCTCTCTTCAGACTAGCGCGGAGTTTTGCCCGGAGCTCTTTGCGAGTTTCATTGTGTTCCCTTCCAGCCGGAATATGCCGGTGAGCATCGATAACTTCCAGAGACTGCGAAGAGACCCAATGTCCATATAGTCTATCAGACTTACTACATGAGGATTTGCCTGCTGCTTGTATGGCCTGGTGAACCTGCGACCAGTGACCATCAATTGTCGCCAGTGAGCACTTACTCAACTCGCATGTCAGCGTACTTTGATAGGCATTCAGAACAGCTGGCTTTGTCAGTTGGCTGGTGTCAATGCGCTCACAGCGTCGTCGTTGGCGCCTGCCAAAACGCATCCACATGTCAGCACATACAAGTGTATGATCGGTGTCCACACATGGGC